GCTTTCTTCCTCTCTCACTCTTTATCTGTCTCTCTCTAGTGAGCATATGCGCTCTCTGGCAATTACGAAGAAAATAAACTAAAAAAATAAAATTAGAATTACCATATGATCCAGCGATCCCACTTCAAATATTTACTTCGAAGATTTGAAATCCGAATGTCAAAGAGATGTCTGCCCTCCTGTGTTCTCTGAAGCACTGTTCATTTCACCCCGTACCCAAGTTATGGAATCAACCTAAGTGTCCCTCACTGAGTGGATGGATAAAGAAAATGTGGTATGGACCAGCAGGTGGCATCGAGGTTAAGGCCACATGGTCAATTTGTGGTTTCAGTGCTAGACATGGCACCTTGAGAATCACACTGTGTGTGTGTGTTTGTGTGTGTGTGTGTCCAAATTCCAGTGAGGAGAGTGGAGGAGAAGGGATTGTGGCATGGCCATCCTCCCTGGGAGATGACTTTTCACTTTCTCTCCCTCCTTCCCACTCTCTCTGGTGAGCACACATGCTCTATAACAACAACAACAACAAAATAGGAACCAGCAGATGGCATATGGTTAAGGTGCTGGACTTCCACATGGCTGACCATGGTTCAAGTCTCGTATCTGGAGGCTTGTTTCTCACTTTCCTTCTCTCTCACTCTGTCCCTCTCTGGTCAAGTTTAAATAAATAAATAAATAATGTTAAATGAAAATAATTTTTAAAAAGAACAGGAAATGTGGTATATAATCTATATAATAGAATACTATTTCACTATAAAGAAACTGGAGAAATTCCGTTATCTGCAATAACGCATAGGAAATTGGCGAACATTATGCTAAAAGAAAAAAGCCCAATCACAGAAATACAAATACTGCATGTTCCCAAATGTGGAATCTAAAACAACGGAACTCGTAGAAGCAGAGAGTAGAAGGGTGATTACCAGAGGCTAGGGGTGGATGGGAAGGGTGGGGGAATAGGAAGATAAGAGGCAGAAGGTTCAAAGCCTCAATTAGACAGAAGAAATAGACTTGATTTTTTTTTTTTGAGATTTATTGCACAGCATGGTGAATATAGCCACTAATTGAGTACCATACAGTTCAATATTGTTAAGAAAATAAACTTCAAATGTTCTCATCACAAAAATTGTTAAGTATTTGAGGTGATGGTTATGTTAATTAACTTGAGTTAATCATTCCATGTTGTATTTTAAAAATCAGTTGTATTTATAGGATTATTTTTTATCTTACAAATATATACAGTTATATAATTTCAAAGAGTCTGCAAGTAAAAACTCACTGTATTGTTTTGTTTTTGAGAGAGAGATTTTTGCTATCGGGCAATTACTGGGAGAGAGAGAAAGACACAAATACAAAAAGCAAGAAATCACCTCCTGGGGGGATGGCCATGCTGCAGTTTCTTCTCTTTCATTCTCCTCTTGGGATTTGGGGCATGCACACACATGTCCCCAGCGTGAGTTTCGAGTGGCCAGATCTGGGACTCAAACCACAGTCCACCATGTGGGAGTCCAGTGCCTTAATCACCGAGCCATCTGCTGGCCCTTAGCCCTGTGTGTTTTGTTTTGTTTCTTTTAACTTACTTCCCTGCTGATTGCTAGTATGTATTTTGCAAAATGGGAGGTGAGAATGCTAGAACATTTTCAGGTAGAAGATATCCAGGAAAACTTACATCTGTGTTAATGGTACCCTGGATTTCTCAGAGTAAGGCAGTGCCTCGATTTCTTCTGGGATGGACTCTGGCTCAGAAGCTGCCTCCATAATCAGACTGAGCTTTGGCTGACAGAAAAGGGACTTTTCTTGTCCTTATTTAGAATTTTACTGGAATTGGGCCTGAAGATTGATTGATCACCCTTTTCCTTAAAAGTATGTGAAAGTAAAAATTTCATAATTTCAGTGTCAGTGTTCCCAGCTCAGGAGTGGTCTTCCCAGTGTCTGTTATAAATTATTCTTTCTTTGATTTATATAGTTTGATTACCTCTTCCTAGTAGAACCAAGCATCGGCCTCCACATAGAAAACTATGAGTAGTCAAAAATGATTTTCTTGGGACCAGCAGTTGGCGTAATGGCTATGTTGCTGGACTCCCATGTAGACGACCGTGGTTCCCATCCCGGACCCGGTGGCTTAAAGATCACCCCGGGCGCATGTGCGTGCGTGCCCAAGCTCCTGAGAGGAGAATGGAGTCTAAGAGATTACTGTGTGGCCATCCCCCGGGGGAGAGGGTGATTTCTTGCTTTCTGTCTCTCTATCTCTCTCTCTCTGTCTGTCCAGCGAGCGCACACGCCCTAATAGCAAAAACCTCCGCCCCCCCCCAAAAAAAAGATTTTCTTCTTCTACCTTTAAACCTATTTATAAACACGTAACAAAGAGGATTTAACTTTCATGCTTCCCCCGTATTTATTAGCTCCTTTTTCACTGAAGGGACTACAGCTTTCCCAAGAGCTCCTCTTGGCATCTTAAACAAATTGCATTTGTGGTTTGTATTATGGCAGGAGAACCCTGAGTCATGAAAATGGTCCTCAGAGATGGAAAAGATATGTCAGTGTCAAGCAGATGTTCCCAGAACAGGATCTTAACTTTACATGCCCTCTGTCCAACTAGCTAAGATTAGAAGACTCCATTTTGCACACGCGTGCATGCGTGTGCTTGTAGTTGTGCATTTTCTTATTTGTTCACATTGTCAGCCCTCTAAGTTTGCAGTTTATAAATGTGACATCAAGAGAGACTGAAATAGAGCATAATTTATCTCGCTGAGACACTGCAGACATGTTTCTTCTTATTCACAAAAAAGGAAAAAAAAATGTCTGGTACTTAAAATATGACCCTTATCTTCCTTTTTTCCTTGGAGATGAGTCATCTCAATTGCAATCAGAACAAATTTGAAACTAAATTTTGATCTCACGTTGCTACAGTCACTTGCTGGTGCTGAGATTCTTTCCAGGGCTCCCATATACACACATTTAGAAACCTTAAAATGTCTGTGCTGACCACTATCAGCAAGCAAGAAATAAGCAGGAGGACCTAAGAAAACTATGAGGAGAAGGAAATCTGCTGGAGAGAAAGAGGAAGCCGAGGGAATGGGATAAGGAAAGAAGGCGAAGAGGAGAAGGATCCGATGGAGGGAGCAGTGCGTGTGCTATCAGGAGCGTACACTCTGCAGCCAGGGCCTCGTGTAGTCAGGGCTCCCACTTGCCACCTGTGCGTCCCCATGTGAGGGAGCATTCCTCAGCCTCCCTTTGCGACAGATTCCTCGTCTGTAAAATGAGGACTGTCCTGGTGCCCACGAACTGGGTCTACACATTCAGTTAGAGCAGAATATGGATTGACAAGGGCTCAGTGAGTATCGACCGTCCGTTGTTGTCCTCAGAAATGCTTAGATCTGCAAACACCCAGTTTGGTCGCCACTGGCCACGTTAGCTGCTTAGGGGCTGCTCGGAACTAGTGTATGCCATTTGGTGTAGAATACACATAGGAATTCAAAGACAGTATGAACGAAATATATAAACCACGAATGGAGAAGTTTTGCATTAAATGTATGTTAAAGTGATAATGTTTTGGTTAAATAAAACAAAATTGCTAAATTCATGTCACTGTTTCTTCCTGGATCTCTAAGGTGGCTGTAAAGATCATTTAAATGGCCCATGTCCCTTGCGTTGTCCTTCTGCTAGACAGCGCTGGTCTAGATACTTCCCTTACATGGCAAGCCCAGAACCAAATCTCAGATTTTACAGGGGAGAGATAATGGCAGGGAACAGGGCTTGTCCTCACAAACCAACGGCAATGTATAAAGACAGAGATGCCTTGATACAATTATTATTTTTTTTCCCCCTCATCAGGACATGTGTACTTGCCAGAGGCAGAAAGAGAGAGGGAAGGTGAGAAATCAGCCCCTGAGGATGATGGCCACACTGCAATCCTTTCTCCATTCTCCTCCTAGCATTTTGGACATCCACGCATACATGCCTGGCATGATTTTCAAGCTGTTGAGTCCAGAACTCAAACTATGGTCAGCCATGTCAGAGTCCAGCACATTAACCACCATGCCACCTGCTGGCCCTACCCTGACAGCAAGTCTTTACAAAGACTTTCTTTCTATTGATTGATTGATTGATTGATTGGGGGGGTTTTGCTACAGGGCACGTGCACTCGCCAGAAGGACAGAGAGAGACAGAGAGACAGAAATTGAGAAATCACCCCCCAGGGGGGATGGCCACACCACAATCCCTTCTCCATTTTCCTCTCGGGATCTTGGGCATGCACGCACACACACCTGGTGTGAGTTTAAGCCACTGGGTCCAGGGCTTGAACTGCGGTCCACTACGTGGGAGTCCAGCGACATAGCCATTACGTTAACTGCTAGTCCCTAAAAAGACTTTCTTGATACATCCTTTAGCTCGCACCCTAAGTGCTATATATACTATGAATTGATCATTTTGAGTAGTGCAATTACGATATTTATAAAATTGCTAAAAGTTCAAATGTTTTCAATGTAAAAATTGAATATAATCCACAGATTTCGTAACTGGATTGTTATTTCTTCTTCTTCTTCTTTTTTTTTTAATATTATGAACATCTGAATAAGGATGTGTCTGGGTGTCTAGCTACTTTTGAGAGGCCATCCAAATCCAAGCCTGGCATACATAGAAAATTTGAATTCTTAATATCCAAGCAAATGTTTTAAATTCATTCTTTACGCTCCATATTTTATGTGCTCTGAAAAATATATTTGCTTTTAAAGCAACTAAGAAAAAAGAAAAGAACAGAAAGCCCAGACTGGACCAGGCCCTGTTTTGTAAAGGAAAGAGGCTCTTACAAAGTTGAGCCCGGATGCCCCATGATCTTCTTGTCATTGCCGGGAGGAGGTGGGTGACCCTGTCCTGGGAGTGTGCCAAGGGGTGGAGGCCAAGATGGCCTCTCGGTGTACTCCAGCTGGGACGGAATGTTTTGGACAGATCTGGTTCTGGCTTTGACTTAGCTTGACTTGGCTTTGTCCTCCCTTCTCCTGCAGTGAAATATGAGGAGTTATATTGCTTTTCATTCAACCCCAAGCTGGATAAAGAAGAAAGAGAACAAGGCTGGATGCTGATCGATCTCAGTGAAGAGTACAAGCGGATGGGCCTCCCTAATAATTATTGGCAGCTCAGCGATGTGAACCGAGACTACAGAGTGAGTAGAGGTCTTTAGTGAAATCCCAGTGTGTCCTCCACATGAAATCATGGTTTCAGATAGCTGGCATGACTGTCATTCTCCTGTAGATTTTAATGGCACTTTGTGGGTGTAAATGTATAGATTTCCAGGTCGCTCTTGGTGACTGCAAGCTCTGTTTCCCTCCTATATCTATTAAAGAATCAGAAAGTTTGAACAAGGGAAACTTAGAGACCATCTATCCCCTCCCACCCCTCCTTTAATGACTGGGAAATGGAAACCCAGAGTGGCCCAGTGGTAGACTTTGCAGGCCATGGCTGGGAGAGCTGGCTGGGACCTCCTGCTCCCAGCAAGTCTTTTTATAGTACAGGGAGGAAGCCAGAGACCGGTGGGAAGCCAGAGGACTGACGGCAGTTTGGCCCAGCTCCTCTGGTGCTCACTGAACCCTCGATTGGTACACAAGGTCACTAGAGGTTTCCCGAGAGAGTTGTGGTGCAGCGTGTCTACACTTGCAGAGGAACATGGAGAGGAAGAGAGATAGGAGTGCAGGCCAATCTCTATCTGCCTCAATTATGGGTTTACACATCAGTGTTGGCGTCACAATTAATTCTTTAAATATTTTAAGGAATAAAAGTAATGTAAGGGGGCCAGCCAGTGGCATGGTTGTTAAGGTACTGGATTCCCACATGGTCGACCACAGTTTGAGTCCCAGACCTAGTCACGCCAAGCATGTGTGCATGCATGCCCAAAATCCTGAGAGGAGAATGGAGAAAAGGAATTGCAGTGTGGCCTTCCCCCCTCAGGGGGTGATTTCTCACTTCTGTCTCTCTTTGTCCCTCCAGCTAGTACACATGCCTGATAGCAAAAATAAATAAACAAACAAACAAACAAATAATTAAACAAACTTGAAAGAAAGAAAAAAGTAATGTAAAAGCATTATAGAAGGCTAGCAAAGGAGAAAAAGAAAAAAATACCATCCCATTGCTCTAACACTCTTCTATTTAAAAATTTTCTTCCATTTTTATTTCACTTTAGGTTAGCTTAATTTGCTCTAGGGCATGTGCACTCTCCAAAGAAACATAAAAAGAGATCGAGAAAGGGAAGGTGAGAAATCCTACCCCAGGGAGGTACCGCGCCACAATCTTTTCTCCTCCATTCTTCTCTCAGGCCCTGCATGCACGGGTACCCAGTGCAGTTTTTCAGCTGCCAGGTCTGGGACTCGAACAGTACAGTCGGTCAAGTGGTTTCCAGCTGCCTCAGCCTGCGTACCACCTGCTGGCCCAAAATGTCCCTTCATTTTAAAAGTCTACATAATTTGATAACTTGCTTCTTATGTAAGTAAGAAATATTTATTGTTGAAAATTAGAAACACTAGAACAAAAGGATATTATTGGATCGTAAGGAAAGTCATAATACATCTTTGCATAGAAAAACTTAGAAAAATACATCATCACTTTCCCGATGACCTAATAAAATCACTTCAAAGCCATCATCCAGAGATATGTTGATATCTCACTATGTTGGGTGAATAATCTTCCATTATTTTAATGTATATATTCATGTTTATGTATGCACTCTATTCCAATATATACAACAAAAGTGAAATTGGATTACATGTGCCTATTTTCCCCTTTTCTGCATGGAATATTGGGAGTATTTTCTGTCAAATATATTTCAAAATTTAAAAAAAAAATTTATCAGAGAGCAGGCCACCCGGTGGCATGGTGGTTAAGGTGCCAGATCCGACATGGCTGACCATATTTTTGAGTTTTGGACCTGACAGTTTGAAAACACCCTAGACATATACTCTTGTTTGTCCAAAGTTCCAAGGGAAAAATGGAGGAGAAGGGATTACAACATGACCATCCCTGCTTGGGATGGGGGCAGTGATTGCTCTTCCCTCTCTGTCTCTGTCTCTTTGTCTCTCCAGTGAGCACACACCCCCTATGGCAAAAATCTAAACAAAAAACTTTGCAGAGTACATGTGTGTACACCAGAAAGAGACAGGGAGAGGAAACGTGTAAGGAATTTTAAAAACTTGACTAATCTAAAATGCATGAAAGGAAAACCTAAGAGATGGAAAACATCCAAGACAAATAGTAAGATATGCTATTAAATACAAATATATCAGGAATTATAATACATATAAATGGACTGAAATCCAGCTAAAAGGCAAAGTTTCAATATCTTACAGGTCAGGTCCTTCCATATCATTCATTCATTCATTTATTTTTTTACATACTTATTCATTTATTCATTCATTCATTCATTTAGGCCCTTGCTAGAGGGCACCTGAGCTCGCCAGAAAGACGGAGACAGAAAGACAGAAAGTGCGAAATCACCCCCCAGAGGGCATGGCCACGCCGCAATCCCTTCTCCTCCATTCTCCTCTCAGGATCTTGGGCACACATGCACATGCGCCCAGCATGAGTTTAAGCCACCGGATCTGGAACTTGAACCGTGGTCGACTACATGGGAGTCCAGTGACGCAGCCATTACACTAACTACTGGTTCCTCCACATCATTCTTAAGAATATTTTCAATTTATAAATTATTTGGGCTACAATAGATTATTTGGGATACAGTGGATGCTCATTTGATACTGAGTCGTCTTCCTAGTTACGTTTAACAAGCATACCGATACTTTATCCTTGTAAAGCATCTGTCTAATGTCAGTTTGGTCTCATTCTGAAGCCTAAATCTGCAGTGAATTTTTAGCCTTCAAATGAAATCAAGGAAAATCCAAGCTTGGTACAAAAAGAAAAGATGGATCTTTTTAAATAAATGTATGACACATCCTGGGGCCAGAAAGAAAATGAGACAGAGCTGCATCTGTGGAGGAATATTTTCTTGGAAATACAGGTTCTTTCTCTTTTTGATGAGATTTCCTTCTGGAATAGCACCACAGACATGACTCATTTCAGTCATGAAGGCCTACATTGTACCCATGGCCAAACACGAGTTACTCAGCATTTCTTTTCAACAGAACACACAGCGAAAGAAAACAACAGTGTCGAAAAGGTAGAAACTTAGGGGATTTTTCTGAATTTGTAAATATCACTGAAATAGGGGAAAAAATAATGTACCTTTATTTTTCTTACCATTATGGTAAAAATGATGTTTTTTCATGAACTTTCTGACTAGTAGTCCATTGAGAGTTATATCCTGATCCATTTCCCTTGATTTTAACCTTATGATTTCTTCCTCCTTTTTTCTTTTTTTGGAAAGGTTTTTGCTATAGGGCACGTGCGCTCGCCAGACAGACAGAGAGACAGATAGAGAGACAGAAAGTGAGAAATCACCACGGTTGTCTCCCTCCTTTTATTTATTTATTTAATTTTTTTGGAGAGGTTTTCGCTATAGGGCGCTTGCGCTCGCCAGAAAGACAGAGAGAGACAGAGAGACAGAAAGCAAGAAATCACCCCCCAGGGGGGATGGTCACACCGCAATCCCTTCTCCTCCATTCTCCTCTCGGGATCTTGGTCACGCATGCACACGCACCCGGCATGAGTTTAAGCCTCCAGGTCCGGGACTTGAACTGCAGTCGACTACATGGGAGTCCAGTGACATAGCCATTACGCTAACTGCTGGTTCCCGTCTCCTTCCTTTTATAGGTTACTTATTTCTTCTTACCAATTCTTCTTACTTACTTCTCACCAATCCTTTGTGGGGCATGTCGTGTCAGGTGATTGAGAAGAAACTGTGGCCCTTGGCACTTGATGCCACAGGTAGAATACAGACAGTTAGGTCCCAGACCCTTCCACCTTTCTGTTTCTGTAGTCCTGGGCAGGCTGATTACTCCTATCCTCATTCTAATTATTCCTATTTATAGGACACTTGCTTATGGTAGTCTAGCTCTCTAAGCTATGATTTCCTTTTATATCTAACCCTCCATAGTGTCTGTATTTAAATAAAATAATTGGTATTTATTGTCAGGTTACTATTTTAATTTAACTCTTAAAATACAATTTAAAATAAAATCTGAACCACTAATTTTATTAAAACTTGTTTATTTCTGTTCTCACAGCTGTAATTTATATACTGTGTCTTATTTATGTATAAGTGATTTCATGCTGTTTATACCCTCCTTCTTCTCCCCATTCATCATAAATTCCTTGGAATAAAGGTTATGTCATAGGTGTTTAGAAAGTAAGTTGAGGGCCCAGCAGCTATGTCGCTGGACTCCCATGTAATCAACCACGGTTTGAGTCCCAGACCTAGTGGCTTAAACTCATGCCGGGCATGTGTGCATGCATGCCCAAGATCCTGAGAGGAGAACGGAGGAGAAGGGATTGTGGCGTGGCCATCCCCCGGGGGAGTGATTTCTTGCTTTCTGTCTATGTCTCTCTCTGTCTTTCAGGCGAGCACATGCGCCCTATAGCAAAATCCTCTAAAAAAAAAAAAAAAGTAAGTTGACGTGTGACTGTCTCTCCACCCCTGACAACTAGCTCTTAGCCTGATGTGTTCAGTGAATAACCGGTCTAAGTAGGTACAGCAGTCTGATAGGGCTGCTTGGGTGGAGAGCATCCTGCAGTGGCACATGCATTTCCTGGGAGCTTCTAACCAGCTCAGCACAGGTCGCTAGCTCTGAAGATGTCCCGTTTTCTAGGGCAAAAGCTCCGTTACTCATTTCTTCTTTAGTGCCTAGCAGAGACGCCTGCCATGTAGTAAGTATGCAGTAAAATCTTAGAATGAATAGCAGTTACCAAATCGGTAGGGTCATGCCAAGACATGGCAGCTCAGGCATCTAATTTAGGTGAAAAGCAAAGTTAGTTTCCTTATTCAAAAAGAAGAACGCCAAAGTGGTTAATTTACTAATCTACTTCCATTAACCAAGGCCAAGAAAATTCAGAAGAAAAACTTTTTTTTTTTTTTTTTTGAGAGATTTTCACTGTAGGGTGCGTGCGCTCGCCAGACAGACAGAGAGAGACATAGAGACAGAAAGCGAGAAATCACCCCCCAGGGGGGATGGTCACGCCGCAATCCCTTCTCCTCCATTCTCCTCTCGGGATCCTGGGCACGCACGCACACGCGCCCGGCGTGAGTTTTAAGCCACCGGGTCCGGGACACGAACCGCGGTCGACTACGTGGGAGTCCAGCGACATAGCCATTACGCTAACTGCTGGTTCCCAAGAAAAACATTTTTCACTCTTCTAAACATCTCATATGCTCTCTAAATTTTCTTACATGATTTTCCAAACCAGACAGAATCTTAGGAGCCATATTGAGTTTTAAATGTTTGTGTCTTAAACTGCACTGTGTTTTATTCATTGTCAGGATTTTGATTACAACTCCGTGAGCTTGTTCGAAAATGACATTAGTCGATGCTATCTATCTAAGATTTGTTTTTTTCTTTTTTAAATTACAATAAAAAATCCTATAATTTTCCATCTTAACTATTTTTAAGTGTATAGTTTAATGGTGTTAATCATGTTCACATTGTTGTGCAACAGTTCTCTAGAAATCTTTTCATTTTGCAAAAGCAAAGCTGTGTACTCACTAAGTGACAACTTATTTCCACTTCCACTTCTTCTTCCCTGACTCCCCCCCTTGGCAACCTCTGTCTTAGTTCATATTTCTATGAATTTGACTTTTCAGATATTTCATATATGTGAAATCAAAATATTATCTGTTTGTGATTGGCTTATGTAACTTCATATAACGTTCTTAAAGTTCATCTGTGGTAGCGTGTGACAGGAGTTCATTCCCCTTTACGACTGAGTAGTATTCCATTATATGGATATACCACACTTGGTTTATCTAATCATTAATTGATGGACATTTGGGTTACTTCCATCTCTTGGCTAGTGTGAATATAGTTATGCAAATATACCTTTGAGACTCTGCTTTCAAGTCTTTGGGGTATATATCCAGAAATGGGATTGTTGGATCATATGGTAATTTTATTTATGAATTTCTGAGGAAACTCCATACGCTTTTACATAGTGTTCACAGGGTAATTTTATTTATGAATTTCTGAGGAAACTCCATACGCTTTTACATAGTGTTCACAGGGTAATTTTATTTATGAATCTCTGAGGAAGCTGCTTTTTAATTCATGTTTGATGTAATCCATTTGTCTGTTTTGTTGCCTGTGATTTTTGTTGTTATATGCAAGAAATCAATGCCAATTCCAATTCATAAAGCTCTTATTTCCTTTTTTTTTGTATTTTTATAGTTTGGGTCTTATATCCATTTTGAATTAATGTTTATGGCACAAGATAGAGTTTTTCTTCATTTTCTTGCAGATGGTATCAAGTTTTGCCAACACTACTTGTTGAAAAGTCTGTCCTACCCCTGTCGAGTGGTCTTGGTACCTTTGTTGAGGGTCACTTGACCATATACATGAAGGTTTATTTCTTGGTTCTCTATTCCATTGGTTCTGTTGGGTTGTCAGAAAAGTCATGATGCATTTTGGCATAGAAAAAATTGTCTGTCTTTATGCCAGTACGATACTGTTTGATTACTGTAAAATATATGTGGCCATGTAATACATATTTTGAAAATATAAAATGTGGGTCCTCCAACTTAGTTCTTTCTCAAAATTGTTTTAGCTATTTGGGTCCCTTGAAAATCCATACAATTTTAAGATGAAATTTTCTTTTTTTTTTTTCTTTTTTTCTATTTTTTTTTGGAGAGGTTTTCGCTATAGGGCGCGTGTGGTCACCACACAAACAAAGAGAGACAGAGAGACAGAAAGCGAGAAATCACCCCCCAGGGGGGATGGCCACACCGCAATCCCTTCTCCTCCATTCTCCTCTTGGGATCTTGGGCACGCACACAGACGTGCCCGGCGTGAATTCTAAGCTACTGGGTCCGGGACGCGAACCGTGGTCAACTACGTGGGAGTCCAGCGACATAGTCATTACACTAACTGCTGGTCCCGGAATTTTCTATTTCTACAAAAAGTGACATTGGGATTTTGATAGGGATTATTTAAATTTGTACTTAGTTTTGGGTAGTGTAGATATTTTAACAATATGAAGTTTTCTAACCGATGAACACAGGGTGTCTTTCCATTTATTTGTGTCTTCCCTAATTTCTTTCAACAGTGTTTTCTAGTTTTCAGTGTTGGGTTGTTATTGTAATCCACTTGAGAGCAGTGTCTGCTTTGGCGGAAGTAGGACAAATGTCCATTTTTCTAGCTCAGTAAGATGTTGTATCTTGAAACCTGAGTTGGCTGGTATCATGAATCCGATTTTTTCCACAGATAATTTAGCTTTTGTAATCTCGAGTTTCAAAAACTCATCCACACTTAAGCTTTGACATGTAGAGCTTTTTCTACCTGGACTCGGTATTCTGGAGAAAGCAGGAATCTTTATAACTAGTATTATGTTCCTAGAGGGGAGGCCAGGATAGCCAGTCAAGCCTGCACTGTTGACTGAGTTCAGGGTGCTGAACTCATGGTCCCTGCACATGCCAAGCCATGAAGGTCTATACTTCCCTATTCTGGAGAGCCAGAGCTTTGGTACTCTTAAGAGGGTAGGGAGCTGTCCTCTCTGCCCTCCAAGTGAATAAAAAGGGCCCTTGTGTGGATAGGCAAAATGAGGTCCTTGAATTGGTACCAAGAATATCAAGGAATTCAAATGGGCTCTGGGTGTTTATCTTCTCTCTTGGTTCTTTCCAAGTATGGCGCACACAGGGCCATGACATGAGCCAACCCAGGTATAATTTTGGCCTTGAGAAACCATAAAAGGGCCAGGCAGGAGCTCCAGAGTTCCTTGTTCACCTCTTACTATTCAAAGAGACCATGTAATAAGCATGTTAGGAAATCTCCCCCGTTAGTTATTCTTACTTAACTTAATCATGAGACTATAATGCATTAGTATTCTTGTTATAAGGAAGCAAATAGATAAATCCCCAGCCTTCTGCAAACCTGCTTATTTCCCTTTTAAAACTGTCATTTCAGGAAAATGTTGTTGTTGGGGTGAGGGCCAGCAGGTGGTGTGGTGGTTAAGGGCGCTTGAACCATGGTCCCACATGGCTGACCATGGTTCAAGTCCCAGACCTGGCTGCTTGCTTTCTCACTTTCCTCTCTTTCTCTCTTTCTCTCTCACTCTGGTCAAATTAAAACAAATTAAAATATAAAAATAAATAAAGTTGAATAAACGAATTATGAAAGAAAGAAAGAAAAAAAAAAAAGAAAGAAAGAAAGGAAGGAAGAAAGAAAATGGTGTCAGTCCGGTGCAATGACCTCATGTCTCTTGAATCCCAGACAAGCAAGTGTGGTCTGTGCAAAATGTCCCAGCTGGCTGACTTCAAGACAGTGCAGACGTGGGTTGGCACAGGGAAGGAAGTGGCGTCTCATGGCAGGCATTCCAGTAAGAGCTCTCCTTGTCCCAGTAGGTTGGGCCACCGGGACTTAGTATGGAGTTTTCCTCTTAAGTGGCAGTGCCAGCGTCCACATCATACTCTTTGGGGAAATTCGGAAATTACCCTTCAGGTCTGTGAGCATCCCTGCTGTGGCCCTCCTCTCCTGCTCCAGGTTGTTGACTAGTCTGGTAACAACAGCAGTGGAGGCAGGCGAGAGAGGGCACCCTTACAGACAACTAAGAGCGCCGGAGTCTAGGATCTCACCACAGTGGGTTTTCATTCCTTTAATCTCTTCTTCCAGAGTACTAGGGGTGGGTAGAAAGAGACAGATGACCTCAGACAGGGCATTTCCCCTATTGCTACCCACTTGCTCAGAGACTCTCTCAATATACCTAAGACGCTTGACTACCAGAAAACGGTTGTTTGACGAAGCCCAGGAAGCGTTCATCTGAGCAACCTCTGCATTGTACAAAGATCGATCGACCGATGTGAAACTGCTGTGACTGTTGCTGCCCGTAACCTTCCTTTCAGAGCTAATGGAGTATGAAGTGCTTTTCCATGGGTGTTATCTGATTTGATCCTTCTGTGGACCCCCACGAGATTAGTGCTGTCCTGTCAGTTTTAGAGATTAGGAAACCACAGAGCTCAGTATAGTTTGGCTCCCCAAGGTCATGAAGTTGCTAAATCAGAGCCAAGTTCTAAACTGCTGACTTGGGATTCTAAATTGCAAGATCCTTGCAGGGCCCCAGAGTTGCCACTGTGGACATTGCCGCCTGGAATGCACGGGAAGAGCAGCTCATGGGGATCCAGCAGTGGTGCAGCCATAATGCAGTGCCCTGCAAGGCTGACCCTGTGGGAAGGGTCTAGGTCTGCCTCTGAGGACCTCCCTGAATACACCAGGTACACGAGTGCCTGCGATCTGGGGCTGACCGAGGCCAGGGGTGGGTTGCAGTGTGAGGACCCTGGTGGGGATGCTCTCTCTCTATTTCTCTGCCTCTGTCTATCGTGGAAACAGACAGACACTTCCTACCCCTTATAACATCAACCCAGAAGAAATAAAAATAAAGTTGTTTCATTGTGAAATCAGATCTAGATATCACCAGTTGGAAGGTCAGGGAGGAGGCTTCCTGAGGAAGGTGGGGCTCAGGTGGACCCCTGAAGAATAGGTACAATTTGGGAAGGTGGAGGGCAGGAGGGGCTAGAAAAGGCCTTGCCCTGCCTGAGGCTACAGAGGCAGAGTGCTCGCGGCGTGGCACCAGGGACGAACAGTGACCTGACCACTGAATTGTGGTCTTACCTTTTAGGGAAACAGCCCCCCGTGCCAGGCTGTCTTTCCATCAGATAAAGACTCCCAGAGTTCTCTCAGCTGCCTGGCAAACAGTTTTCAATTTGCCCCTTTTGGATCGGAGGAAGGCTCAAGGGTCGCAGTCTTGTTCATGCACAGAGCCTTGGAGAGAAGGGACAGTGGACGAGGACGGAATGCTAGGCAGAATCTTGCTTTCCTTCAGGAGGGGCGTTAGATCCAATCAGTGGCACTTCTTTCTTCTGAAGTGGCTTTTGGTTTCCTCAAAACAGCCCTTTCTGGAACTTGGTAAAGACAACTGTCGTATGCGCCTGTAGGTATGATGTGGCATGACGAGCTTGCCTGACAATCCCTTTGTACTTTCTGGTGACAGGTTTGTGACTCTTATCCTACTGAACTGTACGTTCCCAAGTCAGCCACGGCACACATCATTGTGGGGAGTTCCAAATTCCGGAGCAGACGGCGATTTCCTGCCCTTTCTTACTACTATAAAGATAACCACGTAAGTCTCAAGGCATGCTTTGTTTTACACTTTGCTTTTCATGTTTTATCATAAACGGGCATGTTATGGCTGCCTGTGGCTCAGTGTGTGTGTGTTTGAATTTTCTCAAAGATAGGCAAGACTCCTGTGGATGGAATAACACAATACAGCAGTTGTTAAATCCTTATCTCATAGGGAAGTTGGCCTCCCATGTTTTTTTTGATAATAAGGTGATGAGATAGATTCCAAAAATACCTAAACTTAATCAGCCGAGTGAATACTGTCCTCCCAAGAGGTCTGAAGTGGTCACCTTAAAAGGCTGCGTGCTTATTCAGACAGCGCTGCAGAACCTTAGGCAGGCCTATTTTAGGAAGTTCCCCAAAGTATATGGCGTATTCCTTTGTTTTTAATTTGCCAGGGGGCACGTTCACTTGCTAGGGAGAGACAGGAGAAAGCACTGCTCATGCAGAATGGTTGTGCCGTATTCCCTTCTCCTCCATTTCTCCCTCCTTTTTGGGTGTGTGTTTGAATTTTCTCAAAGATAGGCAAGACTCCTGTGGATGGAATAACACAATACAGCAGTTGTTAAATCCTTATCTCATAGGGAAGTTGGCCTCCCATGTTTTTTTTGATAATAAGGTGATGAGATAGATTCCAAAAATACCTAAACTTAATCAGCCGAGTGAATACTGTCCTCCCAAGAGGTCTGAAGTGGTCACCTTAAAAGGCTGCGTGCTTATTCAGACAGCGCTGCAGAACCTTAGGCAGGCCTATTTTAGGAAGTTCCCCAAAGTATATGGCGTATTCCTTTGTTTTTAATTTGCCAGGGGGCACGTTCACTTGCTAGGGAGAGACAGGAGAAAGCACTGCTCATGCAGAATGGTTGTGCCGTATTCCCTTCTCCTCCATTTCTCCCTCCTTTTTGGGATTTTGGGCATGCATGCATATGCACTTGGTGCATTTTTCAAACTGCCAGGACCAAAACTTGACCCACGTGGTTGGCCAAAAGAATCAACTTCCTTAACCACCAGACCAGGGGTGGCCTTTTTTTCTGTTCTCTTTTTTTTTTTTTTTTTCAGTACATGTAATTTTTGAGCAGCCTCAGTGTAAGAAAGCTTTGTTTATGGAGAGAAGAGTGGGTTTTCTTTTTAAATATTATTTGTGGGAAAGGTAAAATTATGTTTATGTGGAACTGAGATCCTAAAGAATGGTGACTTTAACAGGCTAGAACTTAATTTTGTCTCACTTAAAATGCCAGAATTGAGCAGTTGAGGCCTATTATCCTAGCTCTGTGCCACTCAACCCTCAGGACACAGGCTCCTTCCCCCTTCAGCCTGTCATCTTTAGGGTTGGCCCTCATCCACGTGTTGCAAGAGATGACTTTAGTGCCAGTCATCATCTCCACATCCAGGCAGGAGGTGGAGCAGGGAATGATGGTTCGCTCCTAGCTTTTTGAGAAAGTCTTCCAGAAACTACCATGTGGCACTTCTTCAGACAGAAATTCTTATGGGTAGTTCTGTAAACAACTAAAAATTAGAGTTTCACTTCCATGGCAGTAAAGGAAACACATTTGGAAGAACAAGAATGGTCTTAGGCTCCTACTTCAGAAGTTATTTGGCTCCAACTGGGTGAGAAAGTTTAGTTTTCAAGCTAGTTAATAGAAGTCTGGATTCAAAGCCAAGTGAGACTAGAAACAATTGAAAGGTATAAGTTGGTGTGAGTATGTTTGTAGCCGGGGACAGACCAGGCTCTGAATCATATTCCAAAGGAACATTCCAGAAATATGTTGTGTAAGACTAGCATCACCATGATATCTAAGTAGCCTTCTATGTTTATTTTGAAAGAAAAAAATTCATTTAGTTCTATACGTCCTGTTAATTGAAAGGATATAAATTACTGTCTTACTGATCGATTAGTGTGCTTGAGGGTACATGTGCTTATTAGACAGTGACAGAGAGAGAAAGAGGGAAAGTAAGAAAGCATCTCCCATAGGGGATGGTAACACCACGTTCCCTTCTCCATTTCTCTCTTGTGTTGAGATTTTGGGCATGCATATACACTTACCAGGCATTTTTTTCAAAATTTAATTGTAATTTATTTTATACATTTAATCACTATACATCACTTAGCTTGTAAATTGAATTTATCCAACATGAATTCACTTCACACCAGTTCAGTTGAGGACATAGTACACATTAACATCCACCAATAATAATGCCTTTCTGCTCCCATAAATGTCTTGCCTCTCTATTTTTCTTCCTTAATTTCTTTCCTTAATGCTCTTTTCCTCCCACCCTCTTCCCACATTGTCTCCAGTATCCATAACCATTTTTAATGCTTCTATACCCTCTAATCTTATAGTTTCCACCAAAGAGTGTGGACAGTCACTACATGTTAAGTGGAGACATCTCTCTTTAATAACTTGGCTTGCTTCACTCAGCAGTAAATCTTCCATTTTTCTCCACTTTCTGTCAAATGCCAGGGTCGTCTTGTTTTTTATGGCTGAGTAGTAGTCTGTAGTGTACATGTGCCACACTATTTCAATCCATTAATCTGTTCTTGGACTTTTGAGTTGATTCCATGTTTTAGCAATTGTGGATAATGCTACAATAAACATAGACATGCCAGCTCTTTTCTGACTGAGTGTTCTCCTATCCTTTGGGTAGATACCCAGGAGTGGGACATTGGGTCATATGATAGTTCTATCTGGAGGTCTTTGAGGAACCTCCATATTGTTCTTCACAGTGGTTGGACCAATTTACATTCCCACGAGCCATGTAGGAGAATTCCCCTTTCACCACAGCCTTCCCAGCACTTCCATTTTTTTATTTCTTTAATCTTCGCTATTCTGACTGGGGTTAGGTGGTATTTCATTATGGTTTTGATCTGTATCTCCCTTATGTTAAGGAATGTCGAACAGTTTTTCATATGCTTTTTGGCTGTTCATATGTCTTCCATAGAGAGTTGTATGTTCAGCTCATTTTCCCATTTTTTTAATTGGGCTGATCATTTTTTTTCAGGTAAACCACTTGAGTTCCCTGTGTATTCTGGTTATCAGTCCCTTATCTGAGGCATAGTTTACAAAAATATTCTCCCATTCCAAGGGTTGGGAAACACTAATTACTATGTCTTTTGTTGCACAGAAATTTCTTAGTCTGATGTCATCCCATCTATTTTTGGGATTATTGCCAATGCTTTGGGGGATCTTATTTAAGAAGTACCAGCCATGTTTTTCAAGCTGCTGGATCCAGGATCCTGAATCTCCCTAAAAATATTAAAAAGATAGAATCAATAGGGATATGGAGTTCCATTATGTTATACCTGAAATCAGAATGCTGGTAATAGTCACACTTTCTGTAGCATCCATTGACAAATAAGTAAGAGAGGAGTAGAATCCAAGAGATGGGAGAAGAGAATCTTGTGTTGTTTTAGAGAAGGGTTGGGCAGGATATTTAAAAGTGACCCCAGGATCCATCCTACTCCTTTTTTTACTCTTGAGAAAAGGAAACTTTTTCTTGTCAATAGGAGTATTATAATGGGCACATGTGTCTTGTCTTAAGATAGAATTTTTAGCCATTAGACCTTAGTGTCTAAATTTTCTCCTGCTGAGCTCAGACCCTCATTTCCCCTCTTGCTCTCAAGTGCTGTTCTTTACCTGATCTCATCCTGGAAATGAACTCATGCAGCCATTAGTTATGCTTTAAAATAATCGATTACAAGTTTGAAAAAACAGAAAGTACTTCAAGCTTTAGCTCTTCTTAAAGGCATGAAGCATTGCTGCATGATCTGGTGCTGGGACCTGCTCAGCTGAACATGCTTTTCTGAGTGGGAAAGCTATGGATTAGAAATAGACATAACAACAGACACACAAAGACACACAAGTATAGAAAAACAAGGATCGGGTGGACCAGCCCTCTGATAGAGAAAGCTGCGACCAGGAACCAGCCTCGGGTTTATTCTTTTAAAGGGCAAAAAATGGGGTAAGAGGAAATGGAATACAAAGCCAGTTGCTTTTGGATATAAATTGTCTGAAGATGCAAAAAGATGTAATTTCTCTGATCTTCTGGGTGCGAAATCTGATAAACACATGTGGCTTCCTTTAGCCTAATGCTGCCCTACAACAATAGGCAAATAGCATTTTCATATGCAAATACATTCATAGTCACGCAAATGAAGCGCTCATGGAAGGGAGTTTCTGCTTATGTCTAAGGGTCACCATGTTTGCTCAGATTGGCTGCTCTCCACAATCTGGTTATCCCGGGTAGACATTTCATATGCTTGCCCGCTTTCTCACCTCTGCAAACTGAAATCCGTAGTGCAGGGAGACTTGATCAATTTGCATTTTATAACAATGTGCCAGTGTTAATGGAAAGGTAGATTATGCAAATACTTCTGATTTGAATAGGGCTTTTCATAAAGGGAACTATCATTAGTGCAGATAAGTGGGAAACACATCAAAGACCAGAATTCTTTTTCATGCTGTCATTACTCTTCAAAACTCATACATGAAACAAGCAGTCTTCCATAAGAAGAAAACAGGTACGAATTCCTTAAATTTCTTTCTTTCTCTTTAGTGGTTTTAGATATTTAGACTGCAAATATTTTAGATATTTATTCGTACCCCAGTAGAACTTGTGCTTGTGAATAAGGACACTGCATAGTGTTGTTATTGTATTGTTAAAATACTGTTTCTCACATATTATAAAGGGATACTTAAGATTTTGGTGGCAGGATAACTTAGCCAATGTTGGGAAGAGGGATGGTGTCTAGAATAAGAGAAACTTGAAATGCACATCATTTTTATGAGCCTTATGTCCCATAGGGTCCTGGGCTATAAACGCCCCAGCACATGGTCCACAATTTCCATGGCTGGTGTGACAGTTGTGTCCTGTTCACCCATTGGAGATGTGGGATTCCTGCCCTAGAGTTATGGGGATGGTCAAACACAGGACATGTGACTGGACAGATGAGGTCACCATCAGTATGCTAGTCACACAGCCCACTGCCCAGGGAAGGACACCAGGTACTGTCTGTGGTGGTTTGCTTTCTGTCTGCAGGACACAGCCTGCCTGTGTTCCCTGACCTGCCTTTGGTCTCTGCCATCACCTCATCTTATTCCTGGACCTTGCCCTAGCTTGCTGTCCTTTCCTCCATGTTCAGACTCTCTGGTCACTTTCTCTTCCCACTGGGGTAACTGCTGCCCCTTGGCATTGCTTCCCAACCCCAGCACTGTCCTCCTGGGTTCTGAACCTGGCTGCAGGCCCTGGGTTTTCATAAATCACCTCAATAATTGCCCTTCTTTGCTACAGAACCCTCAGACGATGCCTGGTGTGTGTTTAACCGTTCCAAATGCCTTTGTCTTTACCATGAGTGAGAAGCATGTCACCTTTCCAGTGAGGAGCAACAGAACTTAGAATTTTCTGGAGAAGTTCAGATCCTTGCTAAGTTGTCCTAGGCCTCATGGACTTGGGCTGGGATTCCCTTCTTAAATAGGCCCTGTAGTGCAAGTCCATTGGGTAGAAGTGTGTTGGGTTGCTGTGATGGGATGTAGCTATTTCAGAAGTTTCTCTCTCAGTCTGCCCAGAGAAATTATTTTTTCTCCCTAATGGGCACATGTGTTCAGCAGAGAGAGAGAGAAAGAGAGAGAGAGGAGAAAAGTGAGAAATCACTCCTCTAGGGAGATGGCCAAACCACAATCCTTTCTTAATTTTCTTCTCAGGATTCTGGGTGTGCTCACACACATACACGCTCACCTGGTATGATTCTCAAGATGCCAGGTCCAGGACTTGAACTGTGCATTTGACCATGTGAGATCCAGTGCCTTAACCACCATGCCACCTACTGGCCTGAGAGATTCCTTTCTTACTGAGCTGTCACTGCCCTCCTGCACAGCAGACTTAATGCCTCAATGTGGACTCCTTCAAGTCATTTGTGTGTTTTATTGGGTGATTCGGATTTAGTTTAAATGTTAAAATAAATAAATGTTAAAATAAATCCATAAAAATACTTTGTGACAAAAGCATGAGTTTTATAGCTGCAAGGTGTATCTTTACACGCCTGTGCATAACCCAGGGAAGTGTTTCCACTATTCTGTTGTCATCTAGCAGTGCTCTATACACTGTTAGGATTGCAGGGAAGGAAATTGCAGGATAGGATACAGATTGATCATGAGGAAACCCTTTGTTTCTTTAGTCCTTCTTTTTTAAAATTGTTGCTAAAGAATGTGTGTGCTTGCTGGAGAGAGAGAGAAAGAAAGGAGACAGAGAAAGTGTCTCCCTCGCCTCCCTCCAGCACAGTCATGCTGCAATCCCTTCTTCATTTCTCCATTCTTTTGGGATTTGGGCCACACACACACACCCATGGCCTGTTTTTCAAGCTGCTAGATCTGGGACTCAGTGTGGGCAGCCATGTGGAATGCAGCTCACTTAACCTTCAGGCCGCAGGCTGACCCAAGACACCCTTTGCTTCTAAACACCATCGAATCTGCATAGTTATGTGCTGGCTGTCCTTAGTACCAAACCTAACAGCCATTGGAGCCTTCATTACAATGAAAATTTCCCATTTATTTATATATTTATATATATATGTATATGTATTTTTTTGGTATTTCTGGTATTTTAAAACAATGTAGGCAAATAATGGAAAGTATTTTAAAAGTTGTTTTTTGTTTTTTTACTTTTTTTGTGGGGGGAGAAGTTTTTTGCTATAGGGCACATGTACTCGCCAGAAAGACAGACAGACAGAAAGCAAGAAATCACCTCCAGGGGGGATGGCCATGCCGCAATCCCTTCTCCTCCATTCTCTCTGGATCTTGGGCATGCACACACACGTGCCCAGTGTGAGTTTAAGCCACCGGGTCTGGGACTCTAACCGTGGTCGACTACGTGGGAGTCCAGCGACATAGTCATGACGCTAACTGCTGGTCCCTTTTTTACTAATCTTACCATTAATAGTATCCTATAAGATGAGGAGAACAGTTATTTATTTCATATTTCTCCCTTTAGCAGGAAAATGAAACCATACCCGTGAAAAGGAAAGTAGATTCTTTAAACATTTATGTGGCCTTAAATTTCATAATTTGGAAGATATCAGAATATTCCGACACATTCCTAATGCCTTAACACAGATAGGTAGACCTTTTGTACTGCTTGTCCGTGTAGTGGAATGAGAAATAAACAAGCCTTGATTTTCAGAAAGCATTTTCACATCTCACAAGCCAGTGTGGAGCATCAGCGAGCCGAGGGGCTCTTGGTTCTGGAGAGACACCGGGGCGGCCCTGGTGGGTACAGTTGCTTGACAGTGCTGTGTTGCTGTGGTCTCTCTCCTAGGCCTCCATCTGCCGGAGCAGCCAGCCCCTGTCTGGCTTCAGTGCCCGATGCCTGGAGGATGAGCAGATGCTCCAGGCCATTAGGAAAGCCAATCCGGGAAGTGACTTCATTTACGTCGTTGACACTCGGCCTAAAGTAAGTGTCACCTTTCTGCTGTATGTCTGCCACTGTGACTCATGGAGCTTAGGACAAAGTCTCACAGACTGCCATAAACTGCCTTCGCTTGCCCAGGGTGCTTTATCTACAAAAGAGTTGGTCCTTTTACATAATCAGTAGTTGGGTGCCCTGCCTGGGTGCTTCTAGAGTGTGTGAGCTTCTGAAGCCTCTGACTCCCAGGTACGTTTTACACTCCCCCTGCTCCCAGCACTGTGCTGGGCACATAGAGGCACACAAGTACTGGACATGGCTGAATTTTGGAGACTGCTCTGCTGAACACACCCAATGATCTGTTTCTTAAAGAACCCTTTTTGTGCTGATTAAGTCCAGTTCACTGTGGAGCTCTAGCAGTGGTCGTTCAGCTATACTTCGTAAAATTCAGCTTGTAGTGATGTATACATACGACTTGAAAAAGAGATATAAGATATGTTAAGTAAAAAAAAAAAAAAAGGCAGAAAACGATACGATTGTATTTATGTAAAAATAAATAAATAAAACCTAGATAGGCAAAAATGGATAAGAAAAGATCTGCAAGGATAGACAGTAAGCTGTGAAAATTCCGTAGAGAAAGGAGTAGGCGTTAGGGGAGCAGAAAACGTCGCACTTGTCTGTGGTCAGAAAATATTCTGCAACAATACATGTATTCGTGTATTAGATTTTAATTTATGAAGACAAGCAATAGGACATAATGTTCTAGTCATCAAGAGACAAGTCAAGTTGATCTTACCCTTACCTCATTTATCCTTACTTTTTTAAAAGAAGAATCACTATTAGCTCAAGTGCAGTTTCTAGTCTTGCACCTTAAACCCATTTTTTTCTTTATTTTAAAAGAATTATTTAATTTGATTTATTATCATTTAATTTTCTCTAGGGCATGTGTGCTCACTAGAGAGAGACACACAGAGAGAAGGAAAGTGAGAAAGCAGGCTGCCTGGTCTGGGACTTAAACCATTGCTGACCATGTAGCCACTACACTACCTACTGGCCCTATAAACCCAATTTTTTCAAAACAAGTCACAAACAAATGAAGGCCCCAGAGGAATGTACCAGTGATTAATACATGGAAACGAAATCACCTACAAGTGAGTTGAATAGATACGGGGAAAATGGGGTAACAAAATGAAATGTCCTTTATTCTCCATACTTGGCATTGTGATTTCTAGTCAGTAATGAAAATTAATCTGGACTTAGGGCTGATGAGAGAGAACGATGTACAAACAGCTCTGTCTCTCTAGATGGCAGGGAGCCCAGATGTAATAGTAAGCAACAAGAGTGAGATGCAGAAACCTAGTACAATGAAATTTCTTGAAGACAATGGGCAGGAATAGACACCAAACTGTTGAGTGTTTTTTTTCCTGTGGAGTAAATGGTGGATTTTAAGAACCTTTTACTTTCCAAATTACAGTTTGAAAGCGTTTTTTTATCATAAAAAGGTTAGAAGAGTCTATCAGACCTTATATGGTAAACATTGATTTTCCATATGACCCAGCAGTTCTATTTATTCCTTGACATATATGCAAGAGAAATGAAAACATATGTCCACACAAAGACTTATCTATGACGACTCACTCATGATTAATACTAACCAAAAGGTGGAAATAATCAAATGTTCATAAACAGAAGGAATTTATAAAATATGGTATATCCATTCAGTGGAAATCTAGCTATAAAAAGGAATGAAGTGTTGATACATAACGTAAGGATGGACTTCAAAATGTTATGCTAAATGAAAGAAGGCTGTCATGAAACATTCCATATTGTATGATTTCATTTACAGAAAATGTCTTGAATTGGCAAATTCACAGTGACAAAAAGTATTGGGTCATTGGAAAAGTCATATTTTTTTGTGTTTTTCTATGCAAACGTGTCATAACTTTCCAACAACCCAGTAGATTGATGGTTGCCTATAACTGAGGGGACAGGAAGAAATGGGAGAGATTGCTAACTGGTAGATGATTTATCTGCAGATGATGGAAGTGTTCTAAAATTAGATTTTGATGATTACACAACTCTGAATATACTAAACTCTATTAAATGGTACACTTTGAATGAGTGAATTATATAACACCAATCATATGTCAATGAAACTATTACAAAAAGAACGTAACACAATAAAAAAAATAACAGGAAGGAGTATATACGACCAGTAGTTCAAGTCACTTAAAAGTGTACACTGTTAAAAACAGATAACTATAGACACAGTCTAATCATGGACAATATGAGAACGGAACACTGCTTTGTGAATTTCCGACTGTGTGCCCAGCCCCAAAAATGAAGCAGATAACTCCATAACAGATTCAATAAAAGTTTGATATCGGAGGGTGACTTATAAAATGGCTGAGGTGTGGATTGGAGGTTGATTCTCACTGTGTAGCTGCAAATTCCACTTCTCCTTTTCAAGTGAGCTGGGATGTAGAAGAATTGTACAGTATAGACAGATTGGGAGGAAGCCATGATGCTTTTGAGCTAAAGAGTGAGAAGGTCATAGCTTCCCTACTGTTAAGGCCCAGTGATGTCAGTTGGAGGGTTGGAATGACGCCCTCGCTAAGAATTGAACTCAAACAGAAGTTCCAGCTTGGAGCTCGGCTGAACGGCTTCAGAATACAGCAGCCGCGTAGAGGGCACAAAGATGGCCGCCGTTCAGTTCACTCTCACACTTGCACAGTGTCAAGTCCTAAAACTGATCGTTTTCACTGCTTCTCTAAACCTCATTTTAACAAAGACTCGTGCTCTGGATCACATAATGTGATGTTTTCATAGAGTGCGATCAGTATCCTCCTCATATTCTTGACCTGAGGGAGTTCTGTCTACTTCTGACTGAAGTTTGTGTGGGAAAGGTGTGTTTGGGGCAGTGAGGGTGGAATGCCAGGTCAGCGGATCAGTTATGGTGACCAGACAGATTGCACGTCTAGATTACATTCACTTACTAGCAGATTGTATTCACATACTAGCAGATTGTATGTGATGGGTCCCTTCCTTTTTTTTTTCTTTAGGTTTTCGCCATGAGCATGTGCGTTCACTAGCGAGAGAAAGCGAGATGGAAAGTGAGAAATCCTCCCCAAGGAGGATGGCCATGCCACAGTCCCTTCCCTTCTTTCCTCCTCTTGGGATTTTGAGCACACATGTACACGCACCTGGTTTGATTTTTAAGTTGCTGGGTTAGGAACATGAACCAGGGTTGGCCATGTAGGAATCCAGCACCTTAACCACCTCGCCACCTGTTGTCCCCAAGGGTCCCTTCCTCTTAAGTAAAGTCTCAAAGCACAGCACATAGATAAACGCTTGAAACTGGGGCAAAAACAAAACAGACTCTTTGCTTGACGATATTCACTTGAAAAATGCCAGCAAATCTCTGACATTCACAGTTTCTGTCTGGCTCATTACGCCTTCGTCCCTCCTCAGTTTGACTGTCTTTGCTCTTCCCTGGACCTTGTGTAAGCTAGGTAGAGCCCTTGCGAATTGCCTAATAATTACAGATGATTGAGTAATGCCTGCTTCTTAGGTATGCTAAATACCAATCAGAAAAGACAAACAAGAGAAGACAGGGACATTAGTGAGCAGAGATTGGGAAGTCTTTTTCCTGTCTCTTTTCTCCAGATTGAAATGAAAGCAGTCAGATTCACCTACTGATTTAAGGCCCGAGGATCTAAATTTGTACTATGTTATGTAAACCTCCTAGGAAATGTGGCAGGTGTTGAGAGCCAGGCATCGCCCAGATTTAAAATAAATTAATCCGAAGGATTTCGTTTGAAGGGTAGGTATATTTAGCACTCAGTGTGTTTACTCTCAGTGATAAGAAGTCGGATGCTGAACCACCGAAGAAGACTCGTGTCTCGTACCTGTCGTGCTCTCTTCTCGTATCTACCCACGCACACACACTTCACACGCATTGTCACCTGTTTACTGAGAGCCCTCGTTCTCCTAACGATCACATCTGTTGATTTTTGCCCCGGAGTATGTTAGGTTTACTTTGTAGCCAAGAGACTGAGTCAATGTTTGCCGTAGATGGTGTAGATGATGGCAAATGGGCATTTCTGAAATTTGCTCACGGATTTAATTAAAAATAGAAACGGTTAGGAGGCAGCCCAGATCATTCTTGTCCTTTGAGCAAGGCTAGCCCCACCTGAGGGTTTCCAGAGGCCGGTTCAGATGAAAGCCCTTCTCAGTCCTTTGTGGGCAGTAAGATATTGGAAGACAAAGGTGGGGAGGTCCTCAAGCTTGTATTGAATATCCATTCCATGAATCAATAAATCATGCCCTTAAGGTACATGTTACTGCCAGGGTTTGTTGAATTAAGACAAAATGTTGATGCAATATTTGTTGAATTGTAAAATGAAGGCTAGCTCATTTTATCGTAATTTTTTTTTTCATTAATCTGTTTTAGGATTTTGCTGAGGTTGTAAAAATGCCAGGCACTTCCTCATTTAATTCTTATAAATGCCTGGAAATTAGATTTTCTTTTCTTTTCTTTTTTGGATAAGGGCTTAGATTTAAAGAAGTTAAGTAATTTGCTCAGGGTCACCCAGTTCAGGGCAGAGTCTAGATTCTAATCCACGCTTATCTGACTCCAGCGCGTCACCAATTGACCTTTTTTTTTTTTTTTCTGTTTACGAAATATCTCCAAGGCTCAGGAGGGAGGGCTCCACCGTGGAGCACAGACCTAGGGAAGCTGGAGACTGAGAGCCGAAGAACCAAGCATGAGCTCTCCAGAGCCAGGCCAGGCCTGTGGGAAGGGCTGCGCCCTGAGAGTGCTCTGAACACAGGCAGCTTGGCGGAGGTGCTGGGCCGTGAAGGGAAGGGGCGAGGTGGGGGCAGGCGCCAGCCTCAGCCTTTGTCCTTGCTCCTTCTCCAAAGGCTGCCGTGCTGCGGCCTCTGATCTCACCACGCCATGCTCCTCTTCAGTTGTGCAACAGGATGTCACGCGGGACATTTTTCTTTCTTCTTAATTTGCTGTAGGGTACGTGCATTTGCCAGAGAGA